TTGTCCTCATTTGTAAGTCGCTTTGGATAAAAGCGTCTGCTAAATGACTAAATAAATAAATAAAATAAATAAACTCACCAAGATGGTCGTTGACAAAGAGGGAGAAAAAATAGTCTCTTAAAGATAGCTTACAATAGACTCAAGATTGTTAAATATTTTAGAAGCCTTGCGATAAGTGATTTTGAGAACGTGATATTGTTATCGGATTGATTCAACACATTGATTCATCACATTTTTTTTAGTTGAGGGGACAAATACTCTAGTTCAGTTAACAAACTAGTTGAGAGAGTGAAAACTTAAAACATTAAATTGAATGAACAAATTCAGAAACTGCAAGTTGTGTCAAATTTAAACAAAAATCATTGAAACAACTAAACTGCGAAATAATTTTTAAAGGGGTCATATGATGCTGCTAAAAAGAACATTATTTTGTGAGAAAGGAAAAAATGAAATCGCATCATATGACCCCTTTAAGTATAGTTTATTATACAGTATATGAAAATGATTATATTCAGTGGCTTCTCCTACTTTTCACAGGAAGTGACGATTTTGTTCTTTTTTACTCGTTGGATGGAAACGGTTCTTATTCGCAATTGTTATAATGCATATTCCAATTTTGCACGTAAATTGAATTCACAACTTTGGATGGTTTAGTGGATTCGTATTGTAGTTTAATTAGGGTGACCATACGTCCTCTTTCCGCCGGACATGTCCTCTTTTTGGACCTAAAAAAATGCGTCCGGCCGTGGTTTATTAATCGCCCAAAATGTCTGGGATTCTGCTGTTTTCTTTATCCCGCTCCCGCTGAATTTCTGACAATTGCCGCCTGCTCCCGCTATTTTCGTGTCCACTCCTTTAAACATTCTATTGTGTATAATTTTGGCGCATCAGGGAGCCGCTCTCAGTATGCGGAGTATTTAAATCTCTTTTGAATGAGCGTTCGCGCAGTTTACTTTCGATTTCGCGATCAAACACGCACTCTGTGTAAAAGAAGCGCATCTTGCAAGATCAGATATTTGTCAGTGAGCTCAGGATCTGTTGAGCAGCAAATACTCCAGCATGGTCTTGTCAGTCATCTTTCCTTATTCTGGACCTTTGATTCTCAAATCTGACACTCCTGCAGCTCTTGTTGGATGGAGGGTTGCCAAGTCCGCGTTTTTTCTACAGAATCAGGCTACTTTTAAACTGTTGCCATGGGTTTATTTTCCCAAGTGGGTTAAAGGTTTGGAATATTGCATAAATTACATTTGACTGAAATGCCTGTATTGAAATATTTTGCATTCAAGTTCAACCTGTGATAAAACTTTCATGGACTTTTTCATTAACTGTTCCCTCCTGGTGGAATGAAGCGGAGTTTAATCATTTTTACGAAACGGCTGAAAATACATCTCTTTCATCTTCATTTGACCCTCTAACTCTAGCACTCTTTATTCTAATGCTAATTCTAATTTTATCTGCTTGTTTTTTTTAATTAAATAAACTTGACCTTATTTATTATAAATAATGACCTTCTAACACAAGCATTGTCTATTTTTTTCTGTTCTATTGACTTGTTTTATTTTTATTTAAAAATGAGCCCCCACGAACGCCGCCCCCCACCTTCCTCTTTTTGGAAAACTAAAATATGGTCACCCTAAGTTTAACAACATGCCAATTGTTCAGCTTATCTTTCCAAAGAAGCTTTCAGTAGACAAAACTCCATAAAACAGTTTTTTAAGTTTTTAAATATACACGATCTAGTGACTTACAGTCGAAAACAATTGTAGTCTACACAGCCTAGTTTTCATCCGCGTACATTTCAATATGGCGTCTTTTCTGACTAAAGTCTATTTCCTCTCATTTTATAGTAAATATAAGTTTGGAATTTCCTGGAATATGTCTTGTGCATATTAACTGTAGCCAGAGTCCGTGCACGAGTGTGCTACACCGCTATGATGAGTAGCTACTATCCATAATGAATGTTTATTTGCAGTCCGAACTACATGTAAAATTATAACAAGAATTTACTTGTTGAATCTGAATGTGTAAGTTACATCTGAACAATTTTCTTAGAAATACCAAACATTAGAATAAGTTTGCTCAACATAAGCTGAATTGATGCTGAGATGCAATTTGAGCTGGAAGATAACGTCTGCTCCACTTCAAAGAACTGCAGAAGTGGATGAGTGTAACCGAATGGGCAGCAATTTGAAGATGAAGACAAGTGGAGACTTCATGGATAAGACTTTCCAGGTTAGTTGAATGCTAAAATGAGACCTCCAATTTATTTATAAGACTAAG